AGCATATATTCCTCCAAAACCGACTACCACTTCATGATGAACTTTTCTTGGCATTTTTTCAGGTTGAGGATTTACTTCACAATGAGAAAGTTGATGCTGACTGTGTTGATGAAGATGGTCTTCGGCCCCTTTTCCATGCTATCAGTGAGAACAAAGTCAACTATTTGACTGTCGCGCGATTTTTCCCTGTAAAATTTGTAAAATTTTCTGTAATTTTTCTGTTATCTTGTGAGATGCAAATCGCAAGCCTGTGAGTAGTTTATTATCGACAAGAATGAACGAATCTGTTATGAATAGGGAATTTCTTTAAGGCGATATAATTTATTTTAATTTTACTAATTTTAACTTCTACTTTCTACCTTGCATGCCGTTAACCAATTTTTGCTTTGAATTTTTCATATTTCCTTACTTTCCGTAAATTTTCCCATATTTCCTTGCTTTCCGTAAATTTGTCATATTTTCTTAATTTCCGTGAATATTTCATACACTACAATCGTTTTCCATGTGTTTATACATATAGAGTATACATATGTTAATGCACAGTATTGCTGAGTACTTTATCACGCCTGTCATACCACTCCTTCCGCAACTCATGTGACTGGGCTAGGTAAGAGACATGCCGCCATAGCAAGAGCACTGCTGGTTGCTGGTGCTGATGCTGATTCCCCTTTCCACCTCAGTCAGAATGATCCTCTTAATGACGTACTCACTGGTGATCAGGTAGGTCGATTATTATGCAAAGTACAACTTTGAGTAATATCAACATGATAACAATGTGAATCGATTGACACCAACGTTTTAGAAGCGTTCCGTAGTCTATATTCGTATTACTCTCGAATTGAAGAAAGCCATCTCGAAAATCTAGATATGCATAACTGTTTGCTTCGCACTGCGGTAGACATTTTTGTGAGTACGAATTTACTGAGAGTAACGTAAATTCGATCAGATATATATATGCGCTTAAATTGGTGTTGGAATATATGTTTCCTTTTCTCAGTTTCCTCGCTGATTATAGAAGTTAACATACGAATTCGGGAAGAAGTGTAAAAAAACAAGAAAAATTTCCCAAAATTTTCTCAGAATTTTTCATATTATCGTCACAACACACTGGCTCCTTATTAGAAATTATAATGATAAATTAGCACTCTTGTATGGTTGTTGATTTTCCCTTCAGAATGGACTACCGGTGGCGAGAAGGGGCCAAGTGGTTGACCCATGGAACTATCGTAAGTTTATTGGAAATGTTGTACTCGAAATTTTTTATGAAGAAATAATTTTATTTTTAGTTTTGAATTTGTGAAAGGCTCAAGAGTAATCACTTTTTCAGCTGAGTTTCTCGGCGTAGTAAAAAATACAGTGCGCGTGAATCTGATATGCAAATCTCGAAAATGTGTGTAGATTTTAATTGTATTTTTGTATAATTGTATTCTAGGATAAGCGATAGTGAATAACAACTTGTAGCTGTGGAAAAACAGCGGAAAATGATGCTGTTTTCTTTCACACTCGCATTCATATCGAATTTGCATGCACTATATAAGTTCGCTATACCAAAACTTGGTGATCTTGTTTAGGAAATGCGTTATGTCCACTTCGTATGGCAATGTTCACCTCGTCCATGCCTGTGATTCGAGCCGTCTGTGAGCATACGGACTTCAGTTCACTACCGGTAACACCTTTGATTCTATTCTGAAGGGTTGTCGTCATAAAAAGCGCATTTTAAATTTCCGTAGTGGAAAAATATTTTTTCGCTTTGGTACATTCTGAAGGAGTGTTTCAGATTAGATGTTGTGATGAGGTATCGTATAATGAAGTTAAACAGTGATATTAAGAACAGGTACCAATTTAACCTTGAGAAATAATATTCCGCAGGTTTTGATGAAATGGGAAAATGTTGCTAATGTGATGATGACATTTACATGGGAAACTGATTGAAGAATGTGTTCCTAGCCATCCGTGGAAAATCCAAAATGAGTTCCCCCTCGGGAACATTATAGGTTCCTACAAGTTCACACCCGAGAAGTGTGCATATTTCTATTCTTAGTATTTGTTATAGTATGAGGTTAGATTGTATATCCAGTGTCAGAGTATATGTTGGGCTTTGTCAACTGAGCTCATGAGTTTTCTGGCTGGTTATGGAAATTTATGTAGCAGAGCCAACAACAAAAATTTGCTTAGAATTTTATAAGTGTCGTCAGGAAATGTAGCCGCATATTTTCGTTATATTGAATTTTTGAGTAGCGGAAGTAAAATGCGTTTTCGACGCGATATGGAATCCCGGAAAGAACTAAGAGGCGATTCAGGAACCGTATCGTTAAAGGAATCGAAATCAATCCTTAGTTTTAGGAAGAGTAAATTTGTATTATTCTTTATGAGCAACAATGGACTCACTGAAACTACTCGATAAAATACTTGTGGATTTCGCATCACTTCAACGGTGCAAAGCAAATATAAGGTCGATTTTGGTATGAAGTTAGTTTTGTGATGTGCGGATATAGGAACGTGAAGTGAGCCGTATATTGGCATATGCTGCTATGGCTGGTTACACTATAGTAGTGGAGTCGGCCTTGGAGAGCTTGGCACCAGATGGACCAGGTGAGGGGCGTCGGAGTTGATCTCTTCAGTGTGGGGGGAATACGCATACAATCAATTACATGTGTTGGTGACACTTGAGAATTCTGAGGAAATTGTTGGTTTCTGTATATTTCTAGACGGATTTGAATGGAAAATTCTGTAAATTAGTGAGGAAACTTCTGAGCTCAGCTGAGGAAAGCAAACACATACTTCTCCAACACTGGATCTCTTAGTTTCCATATTAGTTCGGTAGTAGTGTACAGAAATCGATAATATTTTTCTTAAATTTCTTCGTAGTTTTTATATTATCACCAACATACGACGTTGACCATGTACATATTTTTCCGTACTATTCTTATGCAGGCTCGGCCGAAGCACGCGAGGCTATGGTTAACAAGCTTGATGATGCTGCTGGGTGAATTATGATAATTGCATACCACCCTTCCTTCACATCACGTCTTGATAGGTACTCTCTGGTGCATTATGCTAGTGAGAGTGGACAAGAGAAGCTTCTTTATTCACTCTTGTTGAAAAGGGCGGACCCGGGGAAAGCGGTAGGGCGGAGGTCCCGGGTTCGAACCCCGGCGAGGGCACTTTTTCTCTTCAGGCCGCTGATGGGTCGATGCCGATTCATTTATGCGCCCGGAAAGGATGTGAGTGGCGTGCAGTGGTTGTGGGCATGTTTGGAGTGCTCAGTTGATGTATGCCTGACGCAACTACTGGAGCATGGGGCAGATCCGATAGCAACTAACACGATGGGACAGACGGCTCTCGACATTGCCCTTGCTAATCATAAATTCGGTGAGTTTACTAGTCTTTGAAATGGTAGACATTATATAATTTGGCATTTTATATATTTTGGTATTTTATATAATTTGGTATTTGTATAGTAGTTGGAATTTGTATATAAGCTGGTATTTGTATATAAATTGGTATTTGTATATAAGTTGGTATTTGTATATAAGTTGGTAATTTATATAATTTGGTATTTGTATATAATTTGGTATTTGTATATAAGTTGGTATTTGTATATAATTTGGTATTTGTATATTAGTTGGTATTTGTATATAAGTTGGTATTTGTATATAATTTGGTATTTGTATATAAGTTGGTATTTGTATATAAGTTGGTATTTGTATATAAGTTGGTATTTGTATATAAGTTGGTATTTGTATATAATTTGGTATTTGTATATAAGTTGGTATTTGTATATAAGTTGGTATTTGTATATAAGTTGGTATTTGTATATAATTTGGTATTTGTATATTAGTTGGTATTTGTATATAAGTTGGTATTTGTATATAAGTTGGTATTTGTATATAAGTTGGTATTTGTATATAATTTGGTATTTGTATATAAGTTGGTATTTGTATATAAGTTGGTATTTGTATATAAGTTGGTATTTGTATATAAGTTGGTATTTGTATATAAGTTGGTATTTGTATATAAGTTGGTATTTGTATATAAGTTGGTATTTGTATATATTTTGGTATTTCATACAATATCATCGATCATGCTACCTAGGACCATGAGGGTTCTCGCCCCTTAACACGGTCGTTGGGGAGCGGCTCGAACCGATCGCCGCCATGGTCCGAGTCCTAGCGTGGAATTGACACTGGAATTAGAATTTATATTTCTTCAACTAGATGATATAGATTCTAAGCTGAAGTAGCGCTGTCTCGAGAGGAAGTCCCCCTTATATATTGTGATAATTTTGGTATTTTTTATAATTTGGAATTTTATATAATTTGGAATTTTATA